AAGTCAAAGAACACAGAATGTGACTCATCCTTGTGTTTTAAGAACTTTACCCATGTCCATCTACTATAGTCATCAACAATGACTAATCCATACTTCTTGCCTCTGATGGATGCAGTTTTCACTGGACCAAACAGATCAATATGAAGTAATTCTAGTGGTCTGGAAGTAGAAACAACATTTTTTGATTTAAAAGATGATTTTGAAAACTTCCCTTTTTGACATGCTTCACAAAGAGCATCTGAGGTGAACATCAGATTAGGAAGTCCTCTGACAAGATTAAGTTTATTAATCTAAGATATACGTCTCATATTAATATGGCCTAATCTTCTGTGCCAGACCCATTGCTCTTCATTAACAGACAAGAGACATTTAACATTCTGAACTTTAAGTTCTGAAAGATTTATTTTATAAATGTTGTTTTTCCTTTTACCACTAAATAGGATAGAGTCATCCTTTTGACTAATAGCTTTACAGCATTTTTGATTAAAGGTAATATCATAACCATTGTCACTTAATTGACTTATGGACAATAAGTTATGCTTTAACCCTTCAATAAGTAAAACATTTGTAATAGAGGGAAGTTTACCATTTCCAATAGTGCCAGATCCAATGATCTTGCCTTTCTGGTTCCCTCCAAACTTCACGTCACCTCCAGATCTAAGTTCCAGGCTTTGGAACATAGACTTTTCTCCTGTCATGTGTCGTGAGCATCCAGAGTCCAGGTACCATGATTGGTGTCCTGACCTTGCTGCTAAGAACATCTGCAACAAGGATTATTTTACTTTTAGGTACCCAGATCTTCTTGGGTCCTTTAGGGTTAGTGGTTCTGAAGGTTTGTCTAAACTTCTGTTTTTCAACATAATGTTTATTCTGACTTGCCTTGGGTTTAAACACATAAGTATTCTTCTCAGAGCTTGTGTGTTTAATGTCATTTAAGTGACCAAACTTAAATTGAGAGTACAGAGGTGTCTTCTTGATGAAGAGTTTGTCAACAAATTTTGGATTACTTCCAGAGGAAGATTCATATCCAATACCTCTTCTGTTGTTCCCACTAACACCATAGATCATAGAAGCCATCTTGCTTCTGTCGATGCTCTTAGTAAGGAATTTCTGAAAGCTAGAGTCCTGTTTTTCTAAAATGTTTTCACATGACTTAGTCTCAGATTCAGATTCTTGTTGAGCTATTTCAAAGTTATTTTTGATTTTTAGATTAATTTCTTTTTGCTCAACAAGTTCTGTCTTCAGAAGATTAATCTCAGATTCAAGACTGCTTTTCAGCTTCTTGTATTTGAGCTTAATATTGTTATAACTTTTCAGAACTTTTGATAACACTTTGATAAGTTCTTCTTTGGTAAGTTTAGCCATTACCTCTTCAGCGTCAGAGTCAGATTCAGAATCAGATTCATATCCTGAAGTTCCTTCCTCCTGATCTTCTGTGCTGGCCATCAGTGCAACATTAGCACATTCTTCTTCTGATTCAGAAGATGATTCAGATTCATCTGAGTCATCCCATGTTGCCATCAGAACCTTCTTCTTTTTGTCAAACTTCTTCTTGGGTTTTTCTCTTTGAAGTTTGGGGCAATCATTCTTGTAATGCCCAGGTTCTTTGTACTCATAGCATACAACTTCTTTCTTTCCAGATCTTCTGTGTCCAGAAGATTCTTTTCTTTGGTCAGGCTTTCTGAAGTTTCTGAACTTCTTTCCTTTATGCTTCCAGAGTTTGTTTATTCTTCTGGATAACATGGATAATTCATCTTCATCTTCAGATGAGGATTCTTCAGAGCTTTCCTCTATTACCTGCAAATCTTTAGCAGACTTATTAGATTTTAAAGCTACAAATTTACCTTTCTTTTGAGGTTCATCTTCCTCAAGTTCTATTTCATGGCTTCTTAGTGAACTGATCAATTCCTCCAAGAAGATCTTGTTCAGATCTTTAGCCATCTTCAGCGCTGTCACCATAGGTCTCCATCTGGTGGGTAAACTTCTGATGATCTTTTTCACATGATCAGCAGTAGAGTATCCTTTGTCCAAAACCTTTAGTCCAACTGTAAGTATTTGAAATTTGGAGAACATAGCTTCAACAGATTCAGAGTCTTCCATCTTGAAGGCTTCATACTTCTGGATCAGAGTCAGAGCCTTTGTTTCCTTGACTTGAGAGTTTCCCTCATGAGTCATCTTTAAGGATTCAAACATGTCAAATGCAGTTTCCCTGTTATTAATTTTTTCATACTCAGTATGAGATATTGCATTCAACAATATTGTTCTGGCCTTGTGATGATTTCTAAATTCTTTCTTCTGAGCATCTGTCAGAGATTTTCTGTCTATCTTCTTGCCATTCCCATCTGTGGGATGAACATATCCATCTATGACCAGATCCCATAAATCAGCATCATATCCAAGGAAAAAACTTTCAATTCTGTCTTTCCAATAATCAAATTTCTCCCCATCAAACATAGGGGGTTTGGTGCTGATTCTGTCCCTTTCTTCATATTTGTTGTTAATGTTAGATATTGTATTATCAGCCATAGTAACAACTAAATATATATCAAAGTATTTCTCTCTGGATCTTTACTGTCATTGTTAAGTGGTAGCACACACAGAACCGGAGCTCTGATGCCAACTGAAGGTGAGATAATACTTAGAAGGGGGGTTGAATAAGTATGAAAGATTAAAAAACTTAGAATTAAAACTTAAGTATTTTTATCCTGGTTCGTTGAACTCAACTACTCCAGTCCACCCTTTCTAGAGTGATTTGCCTTTCTCAATCAAGGACTTAATCCACTATTTAATCAAATAGATTACAATAGTAACACCTAAGAACAACTGTTCTTAGTCTTCTCAAGAGCTACTGATCTCAACTGAATCCTCTTAAGGAAATCTTTTACAATCAATGTAAAACTAATACAAGAGTATGAATGCTTCTAAAAAGCTATTATCATAACTGTGATATTTCTCTTAAGTTTAAGAACAATGAAATAAATTCTTAGAATGAAAGTATGAGAGCTTGAATGTTTTGTTTCTTTTCAATGCAAAAACGTCAACTGAAGAATTTGGTGGAGTCTTGCTTTTATAGGCAGCTGATCCAAGGTGAGCTTCACGTTGAGAAAAGTGTCCAAAAGGTCTGAGCCTTTTTGTCTTCACATCAAGTGACCTTTCCTAGAAGAAGAAAGCACAAAAAAATTCTTTTTGTCTGTGTTCTTGTGTCTAGCATAAATAAGGAAAGAGACGTTTGATTTACTCCAACGGATATAAACTTTGAATATTTCTTCTTCAGTTTTCAACAAATTCATCAGAGTCTAATTGGATCAGAGTCTTCTGATGATGATCAGAGCTTTGCTGAATCAGAGTCTTCTGCAGCAGGTATGCTTTCAGCGTGTTTAAGATCAGAGCATATTTGAGACAAAACTTCAGTACTGGCAGCTTTAGTACTTTCAGAATCTTCTGTAGAAACTATGCTTTGAAAAACTCTTCATACAAAATTCTTCTTTGCTTCAGATTCTTCTGACTTGATTCAGATTCTTCTGGAGCTTCTGCTTCAGAATCTTCTGGAGGCTGCGCTCAGAATCTTCTGTTGACAGCAATCAGAATCTTCTAATGAGTGCATCTGGCGCTTCAGAGTCTAGCTAATTTCTTGTGTTCAATTCTGATTTGCTTCTGGAGTGTTAATTTCTTTACTTTCTGCAGTAAGAATTCTCAAGCAAATTTTAGAGTATATAATTCTTAAATACAAAATTTCATAATAGTTATCATCAAAACATAGAGATATTATTAAGAACCAATCTGTGTTCTAACAAATACAACTCGACATATACACATTAGGCTAATTTGAATAAACCTTGTTTCTGTCGAGTTACATTGCTTCGACACAAGAAATTACAAACTCAACACTGCCCTTAGTCGGGGGTAACAAATGACCACCCACCCCACCCCAACGGAGAATGGGTTTTCTTGCCCCGTCTCCCTGTACGAGCCCTGCCCCCAGTAGGGGTAACAAATGACCACCCACCCCACCTTTAACGGAGAATGAGATTCTCAGCCCCCACCCGCAGAAATTATAATTTTTATTTAAATTGTATATTTTTTCAGAACAATAAAAATCAATAATTAATTAAATATTTGATATTTTAATAATAATGATAATAGTTGGTAATTTTTATTTAATATATATTTTTAAAAAATAATAATAGTTCGTTAACTTAAAATTAAAAAACGTAAATGTATAGTAAAATTATTAAAAATAAAGATAACAAAATGCACTTAATATGTCTGAATAGGGATATGAGTGAGTGTGAGACATATATTACTAATATTCTCTGATCTTTTCTGTAATTAAAAATCAAATTTTCTACGCATCAACCTCATCCTCAATTAAATCGGTTTTCTCGTTATATTTGGGATGAGACGGATAAAATTGAATGTATTTTTTTTTTTTACAGGAATTTGGATTTTATTGGATATTTATCACTTTAATCCCTTAATCAAATTACAGATAGCATAATTTCCTTTTTTTTAAATATCATATTACGTATAAAAAAAACATTTACCTTACCTAAAAACAAAATCTATTGGGAAGCAACATGTGTGAGCGGTAATATGTACGTATAAAATTAAAGTACATTTGGTACTTAGACATTTTGGATTAATTTTTAAAAATGATATAACAAATAAAATAAAATTCAAAACAAATAAAAATTTGTAACAATGCAGTGGGCTAGTTGATGGCTATGGAAGCTTAACGTTCTCTGCGTGGCAACATATGGATCACACAAAATCACACCTTACGGATAATTCACCGATATTCATTCATTCCTGCTCCCAATTTTCCTCTTCACTCACTCACTCAACACATTTCACTCTTACAACAAGGTACGACAATGTTGCCTATATCTTTGCTTTCTCGAAAACACAGCGAAACCAAGCATTCATGTTACATGTTTTTATTGTTTTAGACCAAATTTAAGAATACCATAAAGGAAGTTTTTTTATTCAATATTAAAAATATGATTTTGCTGACTCAACACTTTTCACACCCACTTTTATTCTTTTCTTATAAATCAAACCCTTCATTCAATCAATTCAATCACCATGTGCAACTTCATCAAGGTTTCACTTTCCTTACCCAAATTTCTCAACAATTTCCCATTATGCCTATTTCCAATGGAAGGCATTTCAAGAGGAGGAATTTGAACAAATGTTTCTCTTATTCTGAATCTGAAAAATCTCCATTACCAACTGATCCAGATAAGGTTTTTCTTTTTTGTTCTTGTTTCTTATGTTGATTTTGTTGAGATTTGGTTGATGGGTTGTTGATCATGTGATAAAGTTTGAAACTTTTGTTGGTGAGTGTGCAGAAACAGGGGCAATTGGGAGGAGGGAGTGATGGTGCTGTGGCTGCGGAGGGGGAGAATCCTGATCTTCAGACGCTGTTTAGAAGGTTCTGGAAAGTGGCTGCTCCTTATTGGAGTTCTGATGATAAGGTCCAAGCAAGATTGCAGCTTGCTAGTGTTTTCATTCTCACTCTGGCTACCACTGGAATTAGTGTTGGATTCAGTTTTCTAGGGAGAGATTTCTATAATGCACTTGCCAGTAAGTTTGTTTGTTGTAACTATGGATATGTTTTCTGTGCTATCTTCCATAAAGAATGCTAATATACTCTTTAATATACATTTTAGTATTACTATTAGTAATTAGTATTATTCAAGGCCGTGTTTGACAGTGTGCAAGACGGGCTACTGCACCGGGTCCATAATTTATTATGGCTAAATAGTATATAAATAGGGTTTCATAAAATCTTTGGCATTGTTAAAATGTAGTTAAATATGACCCGTAAATGTTGTTGTAGTTGAACTATGGCTAAACTACACAGGATCTCTAAAAACTTAAGATGACTTTGATATTACCCTAGGAGTTTGAGAGTTGTCTAAAATTCAGACTCTGGCTACTAACACAATGCGTATTAACAACTAGTATTTGTCTATAAAAAAGTGTAATTGTTTAGAGAATGATCTAAGTATAGAAAATGTGTAATAGTGTCTTAACTTAGTTGATGCTTGCATTCCTCAATCTTCTGGTTATCATTAGTTTAATAAGCTTGGATCTCAGTTCAAAAGCTAGCTCAATTGATTAGGGTGTCCAAGCACATTTGTAGAGTGTGCATCATAGGAAACATGGCAATTTGGAACTCAAATGCAACTTCAATATGCAGCGTTATGGCAGATATACATGGCCGTTTTGGGGTTCACCGCAATGGTAAATATTGGCCGATATTGTGGGTTTTTCTGCCATAATCCACTATAACGGCGGTGCAAAGTGGTCAGTATGGCGGGATTTTGGCTCTCCTCCATGAATCGTCATCCGCCATTGACAACCCTGTAAAATTTGGCTATGATACCATGCTAGAATTTGGGTTAGGCCTTACTGAACTCTCCCAAAACCGGCTTTTAGAGTCACAAATGTCTCCCAATTATAAACTTATTTTAGAATATCTCATACAATGTGGGATTCTTAACATTCCAAATATAATAAGAGATAGAACCCGATTAACCATATAGGCAACCGTCAATACTGCTCCCTCCCCCCTCCCAAATTCTAAGATCATCTATTTGAACTTACATAGTTTGCTCATATATGCGTTTTCTGCTGTTGTTTTGTTTAATAAATTATTTACTCTAGTATGAAGTGGCAACAATCAACTGAACTTGTTTAAGTTTATTAATGCAAGACAAGGATCAAGAGCAATTTACGAAGCAGCTACTTTACTACTTGGGTGGCTTTGCTGGAGGAATCCCGGTGAGCACATTGCTGCACTTTCTTAGGTATAGCTCTGCTAGACTTTGCTTTAGTTCTTAGAATGATGAATATTGTCATCTGACGCCGTAGCCTAATTCAAAAGAAACATGACTAAAAAGAGCCAAGCCATAATGTTACGTATCTTTTTCTTTTTTCTTAACTTTTCTAGCAAGACTCGAATACAAGCTCCATGGATGCTTCTGCAACTTTTAGTTTGTTGTGCCTTATTCCAAACTTCTTCCTACGTATCTAACCTTATTCATCATTGTGTTCCAGTTTTTTGTATTGAGAGATTATGCAAGAGAGACTCTTTCATTGAGATGGAGGTCTTGGATGACGAGGTATTACATGGATCGCTATTTGAAGAATCAGACTTTCTATAAACTTCAGTCACAGTCAATTATCGATAATCCAGACCAGCGAATTGTTGATGATCTAAGTTCTTTCACCGGAACATCCCTTTCTTTCTCTCTGACACTCTTCAACGCTGCCGTAGACTTAATCTCATTCAGTAACATCTTATATGGAATATATCCTCCACTCTTTATTGTTCTTCTCTTATACTCTATTGGTGGTACAGCTATAAGTGTTTTCCTCGGAAAGGTAATTGTCTGTTTTTTTATAGTGATATTTCTAAATTGAGGCGAAACTTCCAAGAGGACCCTTTAAATAGTTTGATTTTCATTTACTGGAATTGGTGAAAATGACAGGGCCTGGTGACTTTGAATTTCTTGCAAGAGAAAAAGGAGGCGGACTTTCGTTATGGACTTGTAAGGGTTCGGGAAAATGCTGAGTCAATTGCTTTCTATGGTGGTGAAGAGAGTGAGATGCAACTTCTTCTGATGCGCTTCAAAAGTGCTTTCGAAAATCTGACCGTAAGATTTTTCTTCTTATGTTTACTTTTTTCCTTTAAATCAGTTGTTGAAACCCTATCTTATTTCATTGCGGCTAACTTAATGACGAATACTTATAATTCTCTTTACAGCAATTGCTGATTTCTTCTAGAAATCTGGAGTTCTTCACCAGTGGTTATCGCTATGTCATTCAAATTCTTCCTGCTGCTGTTGTTGCTCCGATGTATTTCTCCGGAAAAATCGAGTTTGGTGTCATCAATCAGTCAGTATCTGCTTTTAATCACATCCTTGGTGACTTTTCTCTCATCGTGTACCAGTTTCAAGCAATAAGTGCTTTTTCTGCTGTCATTAATCGTTTAGGTGCATCATTCTTTTTCCCTTATCTTATCTTATCTAGATATGGTTTGCATATATTGAAAGATACTGATAACCATGGTTTGTTCCATCTGTCGTCGCACACATGCTTTTGTGGCCACCTCCCGAGTATAACGTATACTACCGACTAACAGTTTTTATATTGCCTATGCAGGTGAGTTTGATGATGTTTTGGACAGAAGCAACTCTAAATCTCTCCCAGATTCTTTGGAAGACATAGATATTATATACAAAGACTTTATAAGTTCATCTGTATTGGAATCTAACGGATTAACTCCACAAGAGAAACACGAAACATTATTGGAGATAGAAAATTTGATTCTGAAGACACCAAGTGAATCTACACTTATTAGAGACTTGTCATTGGCAATCAAGCAAAAGGATAATTTACTGGTAAGAACCTAACTCTCCCCTTATCATTAACTTATAAAAACTGCAGGGTTTTACTGATGCATTTCAAAATATAACCGATTTAACAGATAACAGGACCGAGTGGAAGTGGAAAAACTTCTTTGTTAAGAGCTATGGCTGGTCTATGGAAAACTGGAACTGGAAAAATCATATACTATGTAAAAGAAGGGGAAGACACTGAGAAGTTTAGTTCAGATGTGAATACTCCTTTAATAAATACTGCTCGTAACTCAACGGAAGACCGTGGAAAATCCATAAGCAGAAAATCCAGAATTTTTTTCCTACCTCAAAAGCCGTACATGGTTTTAGGTACTCTTCGTCAACAATTACTTTATCCAACTTGGGGTGATGATGTAGTTCCAACATTAGAGAGTAACGAAAAAGGTATGTGATTTCTAGCTTCTTTTTCTCATACACCTAAATCTGGAATAATGTGTATGATTTACTGATAGACTGAAAATTGTTCTGCAGATGTGCTTACTTTCTTGTCAAACTCAGATGATATGAATAGTGAACTCGTGAAGCCGGGAACAGATGATTTGATAAAAATCTTAGAGGATGTCCGTCTTGGCTACATATTGGCTCGATTCGGTTTGGATTCAACACATGAATGGTCTAGTGTTCTTTCTCTGGGAGAACAACAACGTCTTGCGTTTGCCCGTCTTTTACTTTCGAAACCTCAGCTGGCTCTATTGGATGAGTCGACAAGCGCACTTGATGAAGCCAATGAGGTGCTCTTGGCTGAAAAGTTGTTAATAAAATAAAATCAACAAAATCCAAACAATCAATGTGTTGGTGATTAATTTTCTTGTGCTTTTTGTGTTGCAGGTTCATCTGTACGAAAAGATTGCGGCAGAAGGTGTAACATACATCAGTGTTGGACATCGATCAACCTTATGCGATTTTCATGACAGAATCCTACGCATATCAGCGACTGATTCTAACAACGAACAGCCAAATTGGTGCATTGAACCCACTAGACGCGAATCCTCTTTAAAAATTTAGAAATGTATGATTATAGCAGGTTTTTTCAGTATTGACATCTATGTTTCAAATTCATTGAATGATAATTTTTAGGAATATGGATGTCACTATATAGGTTTTCCCTCAGAAACTAGTTGTGTTATAGCATTCGATTTTCAGATACAGGTTTATAGAAACACTTGTATAATTCTACAAAGAATGTTTTTCATATTTGCATGCATGGTATTCGTTCTGCATTCTATTTCTCGATACTAACTGGAATCGTATCTGGCGTTGCTCGATTTCCTTTACAGCCAGCATAACCATTTATTTCCCCTAAAATGTATCCTGCATCCTTCTTCTCCATGCACACCATTCCTTAGAGTTATTAGCTTATTGACTCCTTGCCTTAAATCTCATTCCATGATGTTTCTGAGTGCACTAACTCAATATCATCATCATCTTGGTATCATTCATCTTCATATTTCCTTCTAATGCTGGGATTGGTTTTCCAATCTGCATTAACATTTTTGTAATCTGCATGTTTTTATTTATTCATTCATCGTTCATTCAGCATTATCATTATCCTTGTGCGATAATACCTTTTGTGAGGAGTTTCTTCCCGTCTGCTGGGAATAGTGGTGGGTTCCTTTTAATATGTTGCAGTTCAATGGACTCATATATTTTATGTTTATGATTCAAGTTCCATTTCTTTTTCCACCCCATGCATTTCTTGCGCACTATGTGAATTTTCTATTATGCCTCCTATTTTCGAAGACATATCTCCGGACGCACTTCATGTCTGACTAAACGTTAAAATATTTTGAAGATATATATTTAAGACTATTTAAATCTTAAACAGTCACAACATATCTCCCATAGCTCATTTTTATTTGAATATTTCTGAAGATACATCTACTGAAAATTTTCGGAGATACATCTCTGAAGTGTATTATAATAGGTTTTTTATAACGCATTGTGTATTTGTTTGCAGATGAATTATGACGCACGATCTCAAATAAAATAACAGACAAACAAAATAATATAGTAATATAGTAATAAAATGTCGTACGACACGAAATCCAAAATATAGTAACAATGTGAGGAAAAACATACAAACTATAGTTCTGCAACAAAATAAATACAGACAACTATTGGGTGTGTCTGACAACCTCTCCTCTGCCTTCTCTGTCTGATCTGCCTCCTCGGCCATCGATTTTCCCCGGTCCTCGCGCGATGTCTGCAGTACAATAGCGCCCCGTGTGCCTTCGCAACCATGACATCCAATACTCGTCGCACAACCGAGGTAAGACATACTCAGTATGATCTAGCTGAGCCTGCTCCTCCTTTAGAATCTCCTGATGAGCGGGTCTCGACGGATCTCCTGGAGCAGTCGGCACCATGTTTGAATGTGAAATTCTGAAGAAGCACCTGATGTGTCCGCCGACATAGCTCTAGCCATTCGGTGCTATGGTAGCCCGAGTTTATCAGGTACTAGATGACTCTAATAATCAACAAACATCTTCTCTATCTGTATACGAGTCAAGACAGGAGGAACAGAGACAACAAGGTGTCTGGGGATAGTCTGAGTGTACCCAAACTGCTGCATGTCGCGCTCGGGAAGATGAGGAGTAGTGATATATGACCCGCAGGCCATCCATCTGAAGTATAACGATATGTCGTCAAATGGCCGCATCTGACGGTGATCCATGTAGCAGTTGAAGTGGATTTCCTCGGCAGCCAAGCGGTCAAGATAGACTCTACAAGGCTCGACCGCCTAGTTCCCCCCTCAATGGAATAAAAGCATAGGCACATGGCATCTCCTCAGTGTACTCATCCCAACACGCCCAACCAACGATGCGCGGGAAGTGCTGGAGGATCCAAGTCTGAAATGAAAATAAAAAGCATTCATGGATCAAGAATTATTGCAAACATGAAATGAAAATGAAAAAAACAACATTCAAGGATCAAAATTATTACCACCAGAAGTGTCGTGCTTCCTGTGACATGCTTCGTCCTCCACTGACATTCATCTTCCAACTTCGAATATAGATAGGTCAGGCAAGCCGCCCCCCAGTTGTACTCGTGGATCCGTGTGAGATCCAAGAAGTATTAGAGGTATGAAACGTCAATATAGGTGGAACTCGTGTCCATAAAAATCACAGTGCCAACTAAATAAAGAAAATATGCCCTCAAAGCATGAGTCCTATGTAAGGTGACCTGCTCGGCATCGCCATCAGTCTGTTGTACAACAACGATCTCATCATCAAATAACCTCTTCATGAACAAAAACCTAACCTGAACACCCCTGGTCCTATCCACCTCCTCAAACGCTTCCTTGGATTAGCCCCCATGATGGAGGAATCTTCCCCTAATCGAAAGATGCAACAAAGACGAGACGTCGTTCAGGGTGATAGACATCTCACCATGCGGGAGATGAAAAGAAGACGTATCAGAATGTCATCTCTCCAAGAATGTATTAAGCATCTCGTGGTTGACCAGAGTGTTACCGGTCAAGCATAGGTCACTAAACCCAGAAGCGGTCAAAACCGACTGAAACCACTGCTCGTCTGGCTGATGTAATGCTAAAATCTTCCGCCCATGGTTCATAAACTCTTGGAGATCATGCACCTGCGAATTTCCAAAAATAATCAATGTCAGTAAGAATCAATGTTAGAATTAATCAATGTCAATAATTTAAATTAACGTAAAAATAAAAAAATAAAAAAATAAGACTAATGTTACCTTTCCATCCCAGATATGTTTGACATTGTGATCTGGATACATAGGAAGTAAAGACATATCAGATGGAACCCCTCCGAAAGCCTCTGGCTTGGCATCAACAACCTTACCCTTTGGAGGTGGCACCGGTGCATCAGGATCATCAGCAACCTCACCCTCCGAAGGTGGCACCGAATCAACAGGAGGTGGCACAAGTGTATCCCGACGTCTGCGAGAGGATGGGGAAGTGATGCATCATTTGGTGCATCCCGTCTCCTGCGGGAAGAAGAAGAATAAGGTGGAGTGTGTAACAACCCAATTTTCAGTAATTGATTATTTGTACTAATTAATTGGTTTGTGTGATTTATCTGATTTAAGTGAATTATTGGATTTATTTAATTTATATGAGTTAATGGATTTAACTGATTTATTCTATTTGGTAGAATAATGTGGATTTATTAGATATTCTCTAATTAATGATGAGATGAGATATTTTATGAGAAAATGAATTGGTAGATAATTTGAGAGGAATTATGATGGAAGGAAATATGATAGAAAGACATATAAAGGAAAAATAGAAGGAAAGAAAGAAAAGGGGAAAACATAAGGGAAAGAAGAGAGAAAGAAAGAGGAAGAAAGGAAAAGAGAAGGAAAGAAGGGAAAAGCTTGGGAAGCTCAAGATCAACTTCTTGCTATCGATTTAATCAAGGTAAGGGTGTGAAATATCATTATTCTATCAATGTTTATGATCATGTATGTGTTTGTTGGTTTGGTTGAGATTGTTGGAGAGTTTTTACTCATTTTCCATTCTAGGGCAAAAGGGGTTTAATCGGTTAGAATCGAGTTTTGAACGGTTAGAATCGAAAATAAATTGCGTAGTTTAGTCGGGTAATATTTAGCCGTGACTATTGGTTTTCGTTTGATCGAATTTGGTTGAATTTGTGAGTTTTGACATTTTTGGATAAATGTGAGGTTAAGATTTTGGAGGAAAATCGGAAGTCGTAGAATTGGCGTTTTAGGGTCCCAAATTTTTGATATATAATTGGTAATGATGAGTAGGTATTTAATCGGGAGAAAATAATTGAATCGGTCGGGTTTTTGGTGCAAACTCGTAGCTGTTTTTTCAAGTTTTTCAGGTGTTAACCGGTTAACCATATACGTTAACCGATTAACACAGTGTTAGGGGCCTAAAAACTGAGTTTTTGGAGGTGTTAACCGGTTAACCATATACGTTAACTGATTAACACTGTAAGTGTGAGAAAATATTATTTTTTCAAAACTTCGAAAATTCATAACTTCTTCACCGTTTATCGGATTTTGTTGTTCTTTATATCAAACTGAAGCTAATAATATGTTCTATAACTTGGTGAAAAGAAATATTATTTTTAACCAAATTTTAGCCAAATTTACCGATTAATCGAGATTAATCATTTTAAGTAAGTGAGGCTTAAATAGTTAGAGCGTTCGGTTGCGATCGACCTCTTCTTGTATGAGTAACTTATATGCTTTTGTATGATATAATGTGGGTAGCCGTATGACGTGAATCCTAGAATGTGGAATCAATTGTGATTTTATGGCCGTTTGGCAATATATGCATTGTTAGAATTAAATGTGAATGCATGATGAGATTGACTGTGAATGTGTATACCTTATATGAAATGGTATGTGATGAATGATGAATATATATATATATATATATATATATATATATATATATATATATATATATATATATATATATATATATATATATATATATATATATATATATATATATATATATATATATATATATATATATATATATATATATATATATATATATATATATATATATATATATATATATATATATATATATATATATATATATATATATATATATATATATATATATATATATATATTATGGAATTTATATATATTGTGAATGCATATTGTTTGTATGCGATTGTATGTAAAGAATGCATGGGAACATATTGTGAATATGTGTGCATTGCTTGTAATTGTATGTGAAGAATGCATGGGAACATATTGTGAATATGTGTGCATTGCTTGATAAATATATTGTTGTTATTGAAATGGATATGTTGTATGTGCAATCATGTTATAGTTCTTGAGTGATGAATTATTTGAGAATGCATGAGATTAAGATGCGAGAACGGTCTTAAGTGCATTTGGTTGTTGATTGCATATGTATCATTTAGTCAAGAGGCAATGTTTGCTAGTTTCGTGGAGACTAGTGACTTGTCCCAAACCTAGAAGGGTGGGTTTGAAAGCTTAGGGGACGGGCTTTTGTTGTTATCGGTCTAGAAGGGTGG